ACATCGCGATATTGGCGAATGCTAAACGTGACTTTTGTCCTCCAGATAATGTGTAGACTGACTGCAGAGCCATGTCGCCTGTCAATCCAAAATGACTAAGCGCTGTGCGGTAATCCTCCTGTGATTTGCCTGAAGTATAAGAATACAATGACACTCATGAACTCAGACTACGATGCAACAGAGTTAGATACAGCAGGTAGAGGCGGATTGGCACCCATCACATTTTACTATAGTGCAGAGGTAAGCAGACTGGGCGCAGTGCGCCTAGGGGGAGGGGGGGAGGGAGGGGGGCATTAGTTTGTTCCTTGTGCTAGTTCCTGGTGCAAACAAAGTTCCTGCTAATGCATAGGCTTACAGTGGTTAATAGGCCTCTACGAGAGGCATCGGCTGTGGTCCTTGAGAACCAGCAAATGTCCCCACTAAGCCGGTGTGAGATTCACAAAGGCTATTGTCCATATAACTCCTATTGATACCAAGACTGCGGCGAAAGCAGATTCACTTGCGAAGTAGAAGTAAAGCTGAAAGCCAAGATGGCTACGCGCTGACTATGTTCACAGAGTGTTCCTCTCGCTTACGCGCCTATTCAGAAACTGCCCACGGAAAAAGTTCTTCATTAGGCACAAACCGAATCAGAGCAGTGCCGGGGTAGAAAGTGTGAGGGCAGGGTTCGCCACCGTTGGGAACTGCCCAAGAAAGAGGTCGTACTTGACTTATGGACGGGAGAAGTGGGGGGGGGGCGAGGTTGTAAGCGTAGTCAGGCAGCAACAAACAGCGCAACAGTGTCAGCATGGCTAAGTTCTGGTTAGCAAGCAAAACCTGCGCTGTGCAGAGTACACATAAGGGGGGGGGTCGTACGGACTCGGCCAGAATGGCCAACGCATGATGGGATCTGCGTGAGGGACGTGACGCGTGGCGATGAGGCTAAACGTGTTCATCTCCGCCCTCTCTCTATGACTGTTATATTGCCCCGAAGAGCAAAGTTTCGGAGAGCGCAGACGACCAAACGGATGCGCCAACTCTCGCCGTGTGCCCTCTCCACGTCTGTGCACTACGTCCCACTTTGAAGAGCCAGAAAGAAAATAAATGATTCAGAAGTGAACGTGAGGCCTACTAACCTGGATAATTATGAGCTAAAACTTCAATGGCAGTCATATCCATATCAAGCTGATCAACGTGATGCTGCGTGAAATACCCAATCCTAATCCGTCTATTTACATTTCGCAATCCATGCTGCAAAATGAAAACGTATAGGATCGCACAGGCAGTTACAGTCTTCTTTGCTGCGGATGAAGGGTGTCAGGCAGATGAGTTCGGCGCGGGGCCAAATCCCTTCTCCACCAGTTGTTGAAGCGAGCAAGTGTCGAGACCGACTGTATCATATCGGGCGTATCAGTCATTTTCTACCAATATAGTGCGTATCATTTTCAACCAATCCTGTCTCAAAAAAGTGATGGATTGCGCAAACACATCCCGCCCGACACGCCTCTGCATCGGACACAAGACTGTATATCTCGAAGAGGAACAAAAAACATCATGAGATAAAAACGCAAGGCTCAACAGTAAATCGAGCCATACGGAATCAAACAAGATTGTACCGTTGGGTTGAGTTCTCCTAGAAGAAGCTTCAAGAGTGTTGTTTTTCCTGAACCGTTTTCACCGACCTAAATACAACACTATTTATACAAAATCTGTACTTGAGAGCCAAAAAATCATGTCACAAAGGAATTTCCAAGGATAAGAAACTTACGATACAAATGCGGGAATTAGCATGAGTACCCAGATTGAGCTTTCGGAACAAAAGAGCCGTATCATCAGTATACCTAAAAACCACCATATTGACAATAAAGACTTGAGCACTTTCTGGATTACTCATGAAGAACGTGCAACAGTCATTGAAAAATAGTGCATAAAAAGGGCGCTAGTGTAGTTCGGGAAAAGGCCGCCCAATGAAAAAGGGCCGCGCCCACTCTGGGGCGGACGAGAAAACTCGTTGTCAGCCCTCGCAGCCTTACCTTACTACATTAGCGCCGAAAATATGGCTTAGTTCCTAAAGAGGCGTACATAGTGAGCGATTCAGTGGCGGATTTGAGAAGTGCGCGACAATTACAGACCGCGCTCTACCGCTAACTGTTGAGCAGCCGCAACTTAAAGACAGCTCCCGCGATAAAAGTGTCATGGATAGTTGCTTTTCAATTATGAAACAGTAGCTGATAAGTAATTCCCCGAAGAATAAAAAAAGCAAGAAGAGTCCTCAAGAACACCATAAACAAAATCGCTCCCTCACAGTCACACCTCCCTGCGGTCTCTGTGCAACCCCTGGCTCACAAATCTCTCTATCACATCTCGCAGTAGTTGATATCACCCAAAGAAAAGAATACAAAAAACAACAGAAACACAGCATAAAAACTCTTGAAAAGAAAAATTTCAAAAACTCGAAAAACTCGACGTCTGGGTTACGGTAGCGTGCATATTTTAGTGGAGAAGTGCGTCGAGCTTTTGCACCGCGAAAATTGGGTCGCTCGTGATTTTTACGCGTTTTACATTGCGAAATGGGTTGGAGTTGACTGTGTGCCCATAATGAATAAAATGTAATAAAGGAAAGCAGAATCATTCATGGGCACAAGCGCGGTCAGCGAAAAGGGCATGCGATTCCGATTAATGCCCGCCGCCCCAACAAAGAACAACTGAGCGGCCCTCCGATTTAGCAAGTGGGCTGGGCAGGCATTAGAACTAGAACTTTCAGCGGGTGTAGCTCGCTAATCGCTCGTTGTGGAGTTGCGAGAGTGGGATAGTATCTAGCTTGGGAGCTATACTATAATACTTGCGAGGAAGGACGACCATGTACTACTTGAGGGCGGGGCTGTCTTGAAAATTTTCGGAAGGGAACTTCTTTCAAACGCTGCAGCGGTCCAGGATTCTCAATGCGCATTCTTATAGTCGCGCGATTGAACCGCTCAAAACCACGAAGTATGAACGCGACCTAACAATTTTGGAATTTGATAAAGGTGTATGACCCTTTCTTCCTGAAGTGTGGTTTCAACGCTCCTATGTCCAACTTTGTGTATCCTATTCTCACAAAAAAATAGACGTCTCCCTAATGCTGTCGCACTGAGACATTAAGAAAGAAGTTAGTCTTAAATACTGATACCTCACCTAAACGATACATCATCGAGCTGCAGAACAGGATTGTTCAACACTTCGCACTGCGGAAACTTGAATGTGATCTCCGCATCAAGCTCAACTGCATGAAGCACAGGTCTAAATATACAGCAGCTAATCCAAACATAGGAAGCATTGAAAACTCAGAACACATTCCTATAGGGTTCACGCAGAATATTTTTACTTTTCATAGAAAGGAAGTCAAAAGAGAACTTCAGATAAGTACATCAAAGATTTTCAAACTAACAATTTTTCAAGCATTTTTATCCTACTTTGCACCATTGCGGCTCTCTTGGCGTTATAACGGAACTTGTCGATAAACTCTTGAGTGTGCTGCCGGAGAGTCTGCTGAGCTTCGTACTCTCGTTGTTGCTGCGTGAGCTTCTCCTTCATGGTCTACAAAGAAACCGAATATACACCATAAAGATGCCATAGTCAATACGGATCACTGTGGCTGCGGTATAGAGTCCGCAGTGCCACTGTACTAAGCGATCTTCTCATAGCGTAGGTCATAAATATGACAGCGTTTAGAGGGGGCGTGTCCACGGACACAGTTCTAAGCTCGGTGACACCTGCTTAACTGTGAAGTATTACTGATTGGAAGCTGAGGCAGCAGAGAAACCCTATCCTTCGCGGTATTCTATACACACACTGCCTACATCTTTGTTCTCTCTGACCTTAACAGGCAATATTTCGCGGTCCGTGTACACGCCCTCTCCCCAGACATTGTTATGTAGAATGTGATTATAGGTCACAGGTGCGCGAACTCACTAAGCGTCTTCTACACAGGATACGATATCTATGGGAGAACCGCATTATCATAGTTTCCGCACGACCGCAATTTTTTCGGGGAGAAATGAAAAATTTTCTAAACTGTGAAAAAGTGGTGAGAGTTGGGGAAACTCAGAAGGGTAATGGTAAGGATGTAGGGGAAGCGGCCGTTCCTATGGAAAAAAAATGTGAAGAGGGAATCGTCTGACACTGCCACTTCTCCCCTGCACCTTGCTCCTGTTTGCTTGGTTTTCACAGAATGGACGAATAAACAAAGAAGATATTAAACAAGGATAAATTTCAGGATCACAATCAAAAGTCACACCTTTTCAAAATTATCATAGTTCCCTCTGTAATGGTCAAGCCTCCTTGTATGCAGATGAACTATATCCGTGCAGATTTCGTTCAGGAACTTCCGGTCGTGGGAAACGGTCAGTATAGTGCCTTCCCATGACTGAAATATTTCCATGGTCATGGGACGAAAACGCTCAGAAGTTATCTCTACTACACGTACCTGTAAATGACCTTCCAACCAATAAACTGCTCTCATATCTAACATATTAGTAGGCTCATCAAGAAGCAGTAAATCTGGCTTGACAAAAAGAGCGCGGGCAAGAGCAACTCGCATTCGCCAACCACCGGAAAACTCTCTAAATGCAGTAAAAGTTGGAAAGAAGACTTCCTTTTAGGTTCATAGGAAATAAAAAGAAGCAGTTGGGCCTGGTGAGGGCATTTTGCTTCGTTTTCTGCCGATGCCCTTTGAAAATTCCCGCTCAGCTATGCAAAGCAAGAAATTCGTTTACAGATGACAAGGATCGACATGTCTCACCATAGCAGGACGAGTAGTTTGAAGGAACTAGCAAAATAATCTAGCGAGAGAGCAAAATGCCCCTCCCGAGCCCAACAGCGTCGAGACAAGGTAAGATGGTTTTGTAGGGGAAAAATACGAGACTTTGTAGGCTTCTTCTGTTCATCTGGTGTAAATCCTAGACCATAGAGAATGGATGCCGCTCGGGCAGGTGCCTGAAAACAAGGTCTTTGAGGAGGAAATTCTCCCGCAACATATCGTGAAAAATACTGAAAAAAGAGGATTAGATAATTGGATCGACTTGGGTAAGGTGGCGCGAATAAAAAGTATCGTCTCACGACAAAAATCTCATAAATTTACGATACGTCTTCAATGCGACCGGAACTTCCGCGTCGCAAAGGCTCGCTACCTTGGCCCCCCCCCCCCCGTGACACCGTTCAGACTTCGCGATGACGCGCTACGACGCTGTGGTAACGCAGTTATAGGTGGATATTAATCGGCGTCGGCCGCTATTGTTTTGAGACAATATCGAAGACTAGGGGGTTGACTATGGCTGCGTTTCAGTCCATAGCACTGCAGCGTTATCGCAACCGTGCGCCGGCCCGCCCACTGCGAAGTGTGAACGCTGCCTGACGCTTGACTAGAACGCGAAACCTTGTTCAATCAATAGATCAATAGTGGTCGTTGGTTACACACTCGCGTAGTATTCAAAGGTAATTCTGCGACTAGATGAACCGGAAACGTGCATTTGGTAGCTAGGTCTGCAGAGTCAGTATAACACTTCCGTTGCGAATATGAGAGATAAAGCAGTCAGAAACGCGTGACCTTTAACTACTTTACGATTTTCAGGCTACAAAGCAACGATTTACACCGCTAGTAATCGCGCGTGTTGCCTGCAGCGCAATGGGACCGCGTTATCCCCGTGCTCTTGAATCTTTTGTCCGTTAATTAGCCGTGGGAAGTGGTGTTCATACCTTATCAAGTTGTAGATTTTCCATTTCAGAATACAGCTTCGCTAACTCATCATGCCATTTGTTCTTTTCCGCTTCTGATATGTTCTCCCTAGGAAGAAATGAGTTACTCCTAGACTATGGAATCCCCGTCTGAGCATCACTAGAGCCATAAAATCAGAACTTTACTTGTTCAGTCTTGCTTGCAAGACATGTTCCTTGTCGATCATCGCTTGCCGTCGTGAATCGGAAGCCAGCACAGCATCCAGTA